CTGGATAGGATTACAGGTAATAAGGTAAAACCCTAGGTCACAAGTGTTGCACCGGGGAGTTAAGATATGTTTTTACTTGGGGCTGGAGAGAAGACTCAGCCCTGGCTGCACTTGCAGATAACCCAGGTTCAGTTCCCAGCACCCCTTAACTCCAATTCTAGGGATCTGACACCCTCTTCTGGCCTCTGTGGATATTGCAGGCATGGGGTGCACTTAACGCACACACAGCCAAGACACTTATACACATAAAATAAAAATCAATATGTCAAAGAATTTTAAGAACTGTTTTTGCTAAAAATGAAGCTTACAGTCTTGTTTATGAGAGTTTCAGAAAAGTATAGGTTCACATATAGAAAGGGATACAGCCATACTCAAAGGTTACAACATGCTTAGGCCTTTAAGCATGGTTCGTGGCTATTTAAACATTTCGGTGATAAAATACCTTAACAAAAGCAACTTAAGAAAGGATTTATTTTGAACCACAGCTCAAGGTACAACCCATCATGACACAGAAGTCAAGGCAGCAAAGGCATGATAGTGCTTGGTCCAGGCTCTCCCTGCCCAGGACACGCCCTGCCCCTTCATCATCCTCCACCCCCACCCCACACACATATACACAGTTAAGATGGGTATTCCCATAGAAATTAACCTAATCAAGATAACCCCTCAAAGCATGCCCAGAGGCTAAGCAATCCTTCACAGATGAGCCTGGAAGCTTGTCCCCTAGGTAATTCTATATCCTGTCAAGTTGACAACACTAACAATCACAATGTCTTTACATAGACAAACCCCACAGCAAATTTTGTTAATTGTGCTGAAATTATTTTTTTTTAATTTTGACACTGGATTTTCCTGTAGCCCCAACTGGACTGTTAAGTTGACATAAATTAACCAGCACAGGATTTGAGTAGACATTCCTCCTAAGAAAAGATGTGACTGGCCAAGGAAAACACAAGAAGACACACCACTAATCATTAGGGAATTCTAATCAAAGCCACAGTGCAAGCCAGGTATAGTGACCAAAGCTTATGAGCTCCATGTTCAGGAGTGGGAGGAGGAAGATTAAGAGTTCAAGGCTGGGGCTGGAGAGATGGCTCAGCGGTTAAGAACACTGGTTGTTCTTGCAGAAGACCTGGGTTCAAATCCTAGCATCCACATGGCAACTAACAACTGTCCGTAACTCCAGTCTGAGGGGATCTGACAGCCTCTTCTGACCTCCTTGGTCACTGCACAACATGGGTGCACTTACCTACATGCAGGCAATACACGCATACACATAAAATAAAAATAATAAAATTTATTTTAAAAAAGAGTTCAAGGGCATTTTCAGCTACATACTAACTTCAAGGCCAGTCTGACTTAAAAGTCCTTGTTTTTAAAAGTGGAGGAGGAGGCTCTGGAGAGATCACTTAGCAGAATGCCTGCTGCACAAGCATAAGGGCTCAAGTTCAGATCCTTAGAACCCACGCAAAAAGCTGGGTGCATTGCACATGGCTGCAATCCCAGTCCTGGGAGGCAAAGACAGATTGTTGGAGCTCACTGGCCAGTCAGCCTACCTGAATCAGAGAGCTCCGGGCTCAGTGAGAGATTTTTTTTAATATTTATTTATTATTTTTATTTTATGTGTATGTATGTACTGCCTGCATGTAGGTATTGCTCGCGGAGGATAGAAGAGGCTGTCGGATCCCCTGGAACTGGAGTTACAGATAGTTGTTAGCTGCCATGTGGGTGCTGGGATTTGAACCTGGGTCTTCTGCAAGAACAGTGTTCTTAACCGCTGAGCCATCTCTGCAGCCCCATCAGTGAGAAATTTTTGTCTCAAAAAATAGGATGGAGAGTCACTGAGGAAGACGTCCAACATCAACTCCTAGCATACACACACACATACACTTACACACACACAGACACACTCACACAGACATACACTCACAGACACACACACAGACACCACATATATACAACATACACATACAGCATACATACATACATACCACATACACATACATCACATACCACACACATACACCACACACATACATATATACCACACCCACAAACATACACCACACACATATATGCACATACCATACACACACACACACCTACACCATACATATACCACACACATACATACACACCACACACATACATATACATACTACACACACACACCACACATATACACACACCACACACATGCATACATACTACACACACATACACTACACACATGCATACACAGCACACACATACATGCATACCACACACACACACACACACACATACACAGTAGCAGTAAGGATGTAGAGAAACTAGAACCCTTACACACTGCTACTGGGAATGAGCAGTTTTGAAAAAAATACATTGGTTCCTCAAAAAAATTTAAAATAAAACCCTGCTTCAGAATATGCACCAAAGAAATCAAGGTCTCCCAGAGATAGCCAAGAGCTGGGCATGGTGTCACACATCTTTAATCCCAGTACTTGGGAAGCAGAGGCAGACAAATCTCTGAGTTTGAGGCCAGCCTGGTCAACATAGTGAGACCCTATCTTAAAAAAACAAAACAGCAACAACAGAGATTGCTAAGCACCACTGCACTGCAGTAACCATCACAGCCGCCACAGCAACCAGCTGGGTAGATAGAGAAGATGAGGTGTGTCCATACAGTGGTATGTGACTTAAATAGAGGGCAGTCTATCACATGCAGCAAAGCAGATAAACCTTGAGAACAAAATGGGAAACAAACCAGCCAGAAAAAACAATTCCTGGGCTGGAGAGATGGCTCATCAGATTAAGGTACTTGCCACCAAGCCTGAAGACTTGAGTTTGCACCCCAAGACCTACACGGTAGGAGAAAACCAACTCCTGCAAATTGTCCTCTAACCTTCACATATGTACACACACAATGCACTAATTAAGTAAATGTAATTTCAAAAAAAGACAACCCCTATATGACTTCACTCACAAGAAGCATCCAGAGGGAACACACAGGCCCAGAGCAGCCCTAGAGGGCTGGGGAGGGGCAAGAAGCTGTTTCTCAGTGGTGTAGAGTCTCCCTCATGCAGGAGGGGGGCGTCCCAGGGCATGTTGCAAAGGCAGTGTCCTGTGGTTGACAACACCTGGCCCATTTGGAAATCAGGAGGGTGAATTTTCTGTTGCATTTTTTGTTACCATTTTTTAAAGCAACTTGCAGAAACATGTGCAGTAGAAGATGATTTAAAGGAAGTTTAAAGCACAAATCATTGTCACCTGGTTTATTTCCATGTGCATGCCTCAGTAGCACAGATACCAAGGCAAACATGAGAAAGGCAAACAAAATATGTGGTAAGGACCACTCCTGGGGAGAACAGTCTTGTTTCTTAAAACCTGGAATAAACAGGGCAAACATTAAGATCCTTTTTTTTTTAACTTTGGGGACAATTTAATTCCAAACAATATAGTTATGGACAGTCTCTAGGTAAGGTCGGTAAGTTTTAAAAAAGATTTTGCCGAAACAAGAATTAGTTGTAAATGAGAGGAAGAACATTCTAAATATATCCACAGCTTTTGTAAAGGGGCAGAGAGGTAAGAGAACAAAGATATTCAGATAACTGTAAATTTGATATGCCTGAACTGAAAGACAGAGGATGGGACAGCTGTGAGAGAAGAGGCTAAAGAGGGAAGCCAGAGCGCATCATTAAGGCCTTACTGGGTCTGCTAGGGACATTTGGTCTTTACCTGAATACAGTGAACTACCTAAGTTTGAGGTGACATGCTAATTTGAGGGCTTTAGAAAGATTATACTAGTGGTGGTGGTAGTAAGAGGAAGAAACTGGAGGCAGGAATATCAGCTACTGCAGTAACATCAGCTTCAAATAAAGACAAGAAGTAATGAAGCAGAGATAAAGGAGGAAGGTTGGAGGACGCCCTGGCCATTTCCTGAGGCAGGGGCTGATGGAAGAATAACTAGTTTTTTTTTTTTTAATGAACTCTCATTTTGGTATTTCTGATGTAGCTAAGACAATAACAGGCAGTGGCACAGGTGTCTCATGAGCAGAACAGGCAAATCTGATGTTGAGTCATTGACAAGGACACCATGAGCACCAACAGTGGTAGGTGGCACCAGGGATGTAGATGAAGTCATCTAGAGTACTCAGAATAAAAGTTAAGAGGACAATAGTCTGAACCTTTCTGAATATCAACATATCATGAATAGTTTTAGGAAAGTGAGTCTTTGAGGATAATGGTTAGAGTAAGAAAGGAAAACCATAAAAGATGATAGCTAGCCCTCAAACTAGAGTTATAAGAACTGAGTGTTTGTCAAACCAATAAATAACTGAAATGTATCAAAGATATTTAGGAGCAAGGCACTTGGTACCTTAGATAGCAACAATTTCAATTTTTGTATGAAGACCAGACTATGAGTAGGCTGAAAAAGGAAATGAGTACTGAGAAAGTCGGAGGCAAGGAACTAAGTTTATGAGGACTAAGGATAAAGCAAGGTTTGAGATCTTTAAAGCTGAGATACTATGTAAACCACAAATATGACATCCTTGAAAAAAATAGGCAAACGAAGCCCTATCAAACAGGGTTCCTAGTGTAGAAGCTAAAATTCAATTTGAATTAGTTTAGATAAGCCAAATGAGTAGAGTCAGAGTCGTAAATACCAACAAGCCCCTTTCTTCCGCTTTGTTTCTTTCTTCTGTTGGATGTGTAGTCTTACTGAGGATTCGCTTCTCTTTCTGACAGGAAACAGTGTCATCATTTTTCTCTTCTGGTTTAGGAAAGAGGGTGGCTTCAGTCATGTTCCATTCTTAGATACAATACAGAGACTGACAAAGACAGGATGCCTGAGGAAGATGTGAGAAGGATAATTCTCCTGAATCAGGGTGGTCTTTTTTTTCCTTTTAAATATTAAAAATTAAAAGGCAGAGAAAAAATTAGCACATAAAAAGTCTTGTAGTCTGAGTCATTTTGATTATGTGTCATCCAAGTTACGAGATCTATTATGACTTTTCAACTTATCTTTCCAGTTCTGCTTCTAGAATTTCACCCCATGTATATGCATCCATTGGGCACTTAACATTTTCCGGCAGGCTAACAGGAGAACATATGTTACTGTATCTGCTACTTAGCCACTCATGTCTCACTTTACTCTTCTGGTAATTTCTTAGTAGTATTACCCTCCAGGAGTAAACTTTTTCTACATCATCATCTATTTCTCTTTGGCACACAGCTCTTACAGTCAAGCAATGTAGTTTCCATAAGGAGTCACAATTTCTTAATGCAGAATTCCAACTCTTGCATGTCACGGAAGCTCTGCACAAACTCTGAAGGTCTAGCTCACTGAAAATTTTAAAAGTGACTTCTAAAGGTAGCCGTTCAACAAAGTTATTTTGGCTGTCCATTTTTCCCTTTTCAGAATCTGCAGAATTCAATTCCATGCCAGAAACTCTCAAGTTATTGTTCCTCTTGGAATTTTTCTTCATAGCTTGATGTATCAGTCAATTACCCTCATGTGTAACCAGTGAACTGCAGCCCCGTCCCCGCAGCCATGCTCTGCTCACAGGTCTGGCAGCACTCAGGCACAGCCCATGGCCCTCGTGAGCTCAGTTCTCCACTGACTGGGTTCCCGTGGTCCTTCTGTCCTGCCCGCTTTCTAAGATCCATTTTTAAGATTCTTCTTTTTTTTCCATTCGTTAGAACTTTGAACTTTTTTTATCTCATTTATTAGTGTATATGTGTATGCATGCTCATGTGTGTGCAGGCACACATGTATACAGGTTCCTATGCACATGAATGTGTGTGTGTGCGCATATAGAGGTCAGAGGACAACCTCAGTTTTCATACCTTGTGGGACACAAGGTGAAAGCCTAGGGTGAAAGTCTTATTGACAGCCATACAGCAGGCCTGAGGCAATGGAGCCACAAGGAACGCCTTGTGACATTTGCTCCCATTGGCAGATCATGAGACTGATGCCTAGAGCTCGCCACTCCCTAGTCATCACCCTTAGAATCCAAAATTGCAACACTTAGATAGTGCAACAGTCAGGGTCATGTGGTTTCCAGGAATCCAGGCTCTTTAATCTGAAATCCATTATGCTAATGAGGCATCCTACCCGCTATTCTGTGATAGGATGTTAAGTCTGTTATGCTAATAGGACGCTGTCTATTAGCTAATACGGTATCCTACTTGCTGTACTGTGATAGGATGCTAAACTTATTATGCTAATAAGGTATTCTACTTTCTGTGCTGTGATTGAACCACTACCCCTATATAAGCTTGTGCCTTCCTGCAGTAAACCAGACCTGTGTCACTGAACCTGGTCTCCTGTGTGTGAATGCAGCTCCACTGACACAGTCTCCTCACCAGCCCTGGGATCCAGGACTTGGCAGAAGCAGCAAAGACAGAAGGTGGCACCAAGTGAGCAGAAGAGCGGCCTCAGCCCAGGGCAGGCAGAAGAGAGGCCTCAGTCCAGGGCGAGCAGAGGAGCAGTCTCAACTCCCATGAGAACGAAGGAGCAGCGTCCGTGAGAATAGAAGAACGGCTGCTACTGGCGGTGACCGCAATACCTCATTGCTGTTAACCTTTTTTTTGAGGCAGGATATCCCACTGGCCTAGAACTTGTCAAGTAGGCTAAGTTGGCTGGCCAGCAAGCCCCAAAGATCCATCTGTCTCTACCTTCCCAGCACTGGAATTGCAAGAGCCATACCCAGCTTTTCTTTTCTCTCCCTTCCTTCCTTCCTTCCTTCCTTCCTTCCTTCCTTCCTTCCTTCTTTCTTTCCTTCCTTCCCTCCTTCCTTCTTTCCTTCCTTCCTTCTTTCTTTCCTTCCTTCCCTCCTTCCTTCTTTCCTTCCTTCCTTCTTTCCTTCCTTCCTTCCCTCCCTCCCTCCCTCCTTCCTTCCTTCTTCTCTCCCTCCTTTCCTTCCTTCCTTCCTTTCTGGAAGTTCTTAGACTCAAAGTCAGGTCCTCATGCTTGCAAGGCAAGCATGTGGCTGATTGAGCCATCTCCCCAGTCCCTTGGTAATTTTCAATAGAATTCCTGCTACTTCCAAGGTAAGCAGGGCTGTTCAGCTACATCTGCTCTGTCTCAGCATTCTGCAAGCTGGCTTGTCCTTGTGATTTTGGGAGATGGTTCCTTGGTTTATTTATGCCACAGGCAAAAACAATTTCTCCTTCCTGGGAGATGCAACCTAACTCTGGAATGCTGGGGGAGAAAAGAGCCAAGGAATGGGATGGCTTCTGCAGCACATGTGGATCCTGCTCCAACAACCAACTGTCCCAGAGCTGAGGGAACGACACACAAGGAACCAATAGGGAGATGCAGGCTGCTTTTCCTAGAGTCAAATCTCAGCTGTGAGAGTCTTGATCAGCTCAGATCCACCCCATCCAATCATCCCAGCTTCCCAAAAAATCTCATGCTACTAGAGGCAACCCCAGAGACTGGAGAGAGGTGTGGATCCAGGGGCCACCAATCCCCAGCCTTCTCTTCTTCCTCAGTACCCCGTAACAGAACCTGAATTCATAAAGAATCCCTGACCCTTGGGATTTGACCCCCAACCTTCAGCTTCCACACCAGGTCAGGCCCTCCCACCTTGGGTCAGAGAACTGAAGGTTAGGAGCCCTATAGCCCTAGGGACTATGGTAGCCATAATGGCCAGGTTTTCCCCTGTAGAGCCAAAGGAAACACAGTGCTCCCTTCTCCCAATCCTCTGCATATGTGAGCAGTCACTCCAATTCTCTTGGTGTCTCTGGGCACTCCCTACCATGTTCCCTAGACCCCTGCCAGTTGGAATGGGGACTGTGCACTTTCCAGAAGCTGGTGAAAAACCCAATATAGGCTTGGTCCTGTACATCCCCTAGGAGTATTGACTCATGGGGCCCTATTACCATGTGAGAACCTCTGGTGCACACATGCACACAGGGTACAAGCACAGAAGCAGCCAGGCCCAGATCCTAGACTTGAAAGAATTAGAAGAGCTTTAGAAAAGTAGAGAATGAGAATTAACATAGAAGCAAAGCAAATAAGGTGGCTGCTTAGCCAAAATGCAAAGTAAGCAGGGTACAAGAGGGCTCCAGGCAAGACCCCTCTGGTCGGCTATCACTGGATCAAAGACCTGGAGAAAGCCAGGGGCTGGCTAGAGAGGTCAGGGCAGTCAGCTACTCAGGCCTAGATTTAGAGTGCCGACAAACCCAGGTGAAGATGACAGGTATGGGATACAAAGAAACTGGAGCAGTAAGACCCCAAGACTGGGCCTCATCCTCCAACTAACATCTCCCCTCCTTCCCACAGAGGGATACCCAGACAGCCTGGGGTGAGACCACCACCTCAGATAGCACCTGGGGCTACAGGGAGACCCTGTCTCAAAAAAGACCAATAAATAAATAAATAAATAAATGCAGGTGGTGGAGGGAAGTGTTACAGGAAAACAGAGGGCGTGTGCAATTGATTAGGCTCCAGCAGAAGGATCCTCGATTCAATGAGGGGTATGCAGGTTCTGGTCCCTGCTCTTTGTCCTTGATCACCAGGCTCTGTCTCAGCAAACATAGATACCCAAGGAAAATGCCCTCACTCTGTGCCAGGAACATGAGGACCTGGAGGTGCCATTGCTATCTAAAGGCTGCACTGGATCCTTACCTGCCCCCCACAGAGCAGCTGCTTGGTCTCCAGCTACACAGTACCTCCCCTGTTATAGCTTCTGGCTTTTTCCACTCCCCTGGGCACAGAGCTCCAGCGCCACTCCTTCTGCCAGCTGTCCTGTCATCCCAGGCTCAGCCAAACATTTGTACTGGCTCTGTCCCAGGGGAAAGGGTCAAATAGCTAAGGGTCCTGGTGGCAGTCTTACTGCAGAGTGGAGCATCCTGAGCCCATCTGTGTCCTTGAACCAGATAGGGGAATAGAGGCCTGAAAACATGAAAGGCCCACAGTGTCATCTGTGAAAGTAAGATTCTGAATCCTGAGCTATCAGAGGCCAGGCCTCCCAGTTCCCAACACACAGGAAAACTGTTCATAAACTTATGACTTTGAAAAGTAACAACATAATCTGGCAAGCAGAAATGAACTCATACCATGGTATAAAACACCAGCGGGTTATTAAACAATCTTAGACATAACATAATCACAGGCCCATGTCACCTTGGCCCTAGCAGGTGCAAAACTGCACATTGAGCTTCTTGCCCACTTCTATTCTCCTGGGCCTCATTCCGAGTCTGGGCCTTGTTTGCCAAGCATGTCCCTTTGTCACTGGGCTATGTCCCACCTCTGTGCATCCCAAGTTGGTACAGATTACCCCAGGCCATTTTTTCAGGTGCTGATTAGTTGAGTTACTGCACACAGCCTCCAGGACAGGCTACAGGATGAGCCCAGTAAACAGTAACCCTAGAGGTAGGTAGCTGGGGTGGGGGTGGGTGGGCTGGTGACAGCCAACACCAGAGCATAGAAAGAAGGACAGGGCTTTTTGCAACAAGGCCAGGGCACTGCAAAGGAGTTCAGCCCTTAGCAGGTCTGCATCTCCCCTCAAATGAGAATGCATGAGGTGACAGGCCTCTAGAACAAACACCGGGCCTAATTTTACAGGGACGCACTGTTGTTTCTTTTCCCATTTAGGGGAAATCTCAAACCAGATTTACCCATTCTGGTTGCACAAAGCAGAATTGCCTTCCCCAAAAGGGCTGCAGGTTATGTTGACAAAGCATCTTCCTCAGTCCAGAGGAGCAGATTGTTACAAACGGCACTAAATCCAGTCACCAATTCCTTCTTTGTAAAGAAAGACCCAGGAAAGGGCTCTATGAGGAGAAATGGAGGAGGCAATGGCAGGTGAGGCAGGAACTGAGAAGTGGAGAGAAGCTCCAAACTGGGGACCCAGTGATTGCCCATGAGAGTGGACCAGGCATGGGCTGACTGCTGGAGTGTGGGAACCTGCAGTACAAACTGGATGTTGTCTGGACACCTGAAAACTCCCTCAGCTCAGTGTATGCCACAGAGCCCTGGCTTTACCAAGCCCACATGGTGCACTCTTCAGCCTCTCATCACAATCCTGGCTCCACACACCCTGCACAGATACACCACATATACATTGTACACATGTACATATATCACAGTGCACTACATACAAGCATTCATATCATATATGTGGGACCATGTACCATGCATATACAGGAGTGCGCACATATGTATGTACACCACACACACACATACACACACACACACACACACCACATGAGCACACACAGACATATCATAAGATAGAAGATGCTCTGGAGCTGTGCAGGATGTTGGCAGCCAATCACCCAGGGAAGGGGCTGAGTTGCAGAGCCTGGGCTAGAACAGTGGCTTAGCCGAGAAGCATTTCTGAAAAGCACAGATCCTGTGACTATCTGAGGCACAGAAAACTTGAGTATCCATATACCCTAAAGACTATCAAAGGCTGGGCAGCCTGCAACTGGCCATCAAAGACCTTGCCGCTGGTCTTCCCTGCAATGCAGAATC